TTTTGCTAAACAAAAAACCCAACACGCGTAAATGAATTGGTTTACGTGAAAGTTATAGCTTTTATAAATGGCGGTATATGTACTGGGATTTTTTTTTATTTTTACTAGTAGTAGTGGTGATCAGTGACCTATAGCAGGACTGCGGAACTGCGATGGGCATTTTGACACTGGAGGGAACTGACTTGGTGTCAATGACATCCCCAGTGACACCAAAACAGTGCTAATAAAAAGCACTGACACTGTACTAATGGCACTTGGCAGGAAGGGGTTAACATGTGGGGTGATCAAAGGGTTAACTGTGTGCTGTATGCTGTTTTCCTAAGGGCTGTGTCTGTGTGCTTCACTGTCATGCAAAGCAGTGTGCAGGATCTGACAGGGTAGAGAATTGTTTCCTCCGCTGTCGGAGATGCTTGGCAATCACCAGGACCCGGTGACTGACAGCCGTGGAAATGCAAAATCACACACACACACATATATATATATATATATATATATATATATATATATATATATATATATATATATATATATATATATATATCTACACACACAGTTGCAAGAAAAAGTATGTGAACCCCTTGGGATTATGTGGAGTTTTGCATGAATTGGGCATAAAATGTACTCTGAACATCATCTAAGTCACAACAATAGAAGAACACAGTCTGCTGAACATAATACTGCACAAACATTAGATGTTGCCATGATTTAATTGCACATAACATGTAAACATTCACACTGCAGGGAGGAAAAAGTATGTGAACCTTTGGACTTAATAACTGGTTGACCCTCCTTTGGCAGCAATAACCTCAACCAAGCGTTTCCTGTAGTTGCAGATCAGACCTGCACAACAATCTGGAGTAATTTTGGACCACTCCTCTTCACAAAACTGTTTCAGTGTAGCAATATTCTTGGGATGTCTGGTGTGAATCGCTCTCTTAAGGTCATGCCACAGCATTTCAATCGGGTTGAGGTCAGGACTCTGACTGGGCCACTCCAGAAGGCGTATTCTGTGCTGTTGCAGCCATTGTTTTGTTGAATTACTTGTATGCTTTGGGTCATTGTCCTGTTGCATCACCCATCCTCTGCGGAGCTTCAGTTGGCGGACAGATGGTCGTACGTTTTCCTGCAAAATGTCTTGATAAACTCTGGAATTAATTTACCCATCAATGACAACAATCTGTCCAGGCCCTGAGGCAGCAAAGCAGCCCCAAACCATGATGCTCCCTCCGCCATGTTTTACAGTGGGGATGAGGTTTTTATGCTGGTGTGCTGTGCCTTTTTTTCTCCACACATAGTGTTGTGTGTTCTTCCCAAACAACTCAATCTTGGTTTCATCTGTCCACAGTATATTTTGCCAGTAGTGCTGTGGAACATCCAGGTGCTCTTTTGTAAACTTCAAACGTGCTGCAATATTCTTTTTGGACAGCAATGGCTTCCTCCGTGGTGTCCTCCCATGTACTCCATTCTTGTTTAATGTTTTCCTTATTGTAGATGTGTCAACAAAAATGTTAGCATGTGCCAGAGATTTCTGTAGGTCTTTAGCTGACACTCTGGGATTCTTCTTTACCTCATGCAGCATTCTGCGCTGTGCTCTTGCAGTCATTTTTACAGGACGACCACGCCTAGGGAGAGTAGCAACAGTGCTAAACTTTCTCCATTTGTAGACAGTCTGTCTTACCGTGGACACATGAACATCAAGGCTTTTGGAGATACTTTTGTAACCCTTTCCAGCTTCATCAAGTCAACAATTCTTGATCGTAGGTCTTCTGAGAGCTCTTTTCTGCAAGGCATGGTTCACATCAGACAGTGCTTCTTGAAACCAGTAAACCCAAAACAGGTGAGTGTTTTTTAAGGGCAGGACAGCTGTCAGCAACACATCCAATATCATCACACTGATTGGAGTCAAGGTTGGCTCACTCCTGGCTCCAATTAGCTCTGGGAGAAGTCATTAAGCTAGGGCCTCACATACTTTTTCCTCCCTGCACTGTGAATGTTTACATGTTATGTGCAATTAAACCATGGCAACATCTAATGTTTGTGTAGTATTATGTTCAGCAGACTGTGTTCTTCTATTGTTGATGACGATCAGAGCACATTTTATGCCCAATTCATGCAAAACTCCACATAATCCCAAGGGGTTCACATACTTTTTCTTGCAACTGTATATATATATGTGGTTTTGTGCACCCGTGTTGCCCTGTAGCAGTACTATTAATATATAAACGATAAAGACCGAAAATTTTGAAAGAAAAAAACAATATTTTTTACTTTTTTAAAACATATCCAATAAAACAATTTTAAAAATCTAATTTCTTCATAAATTAGGCAAAATGTAATCTGCTATATGTCTTTGGTAAACAAAATATCCAAATAAGATTATATTAATTGGTTTGCATGAAAGTTTTAGCATCTACAAATAATGGTATATGTACTAGAATTTGTATTCATTTTTTTTAATACTACTAATGACAGTTATCAGCAACTTATAATAGGACTGTAAAAGTGTGGTTGGCAATCTGACAGTAACTTACACTTTGTGGAATGAACTGTCATGGACATCTCCAGTGACACTAATACAGTGATAACAATATACACTGTCACTGTACTGACACTGGCTGGGAAGGGGTTAATATTTAGGGCAATCAAAGAGTTAACTGCGGGTCTAACAATGTTTACTGTGTGTGCTGTGTGCTGTTTTTACTAAGCAATGTGCGGGTTTTTACTTTGCAGGGAGAAACAAAATCACATTTCTACTAAAAGAAAGATCCCTGTGGTATCATTTTGTGAATCAAATATAGATATCACTTGTGAAGGAACGTCTGTCACCCCGATTGGGTAATTCTGTCAGAGAACCGCTTTATCGCCACTGGGACACAGGATCAAGGTATTATAGCCAGGCATTGCACCCAAAACTAGACGAGAGTAGCTTTAGATTCCAAACGGGAACTCTTTATTGAACAGAAAACACAGGTTTTTATACACTCAGAAATATGGGGCAGTGCCCACAGGAACAATAAACACAAATATTACACATTGAGATAAACATCCCACACTGAATAGATAAGGAGGCGAAGCTGACATCAGTCTAATCCTATCATGTAGGCACCTCCAGAAGGACTTGCCACCAAACTCAATTAACTCCATGAACAATGGGAATGCACACCTAGGAGGCACACAATGGGAGAAGATAGGAAACACATAACACCTTAATAAATTGATTAAACTAAATGAGCAAGAGTCCTCAGCATGAGGATGGTTTGAGCTGATTATATCATCATCTTCTTAGAGTCTCTGTGTCAAGGCTCCCGGGTATGACCAGAGGTGTGTGACTGACGCAGGGAAACGCAGACTTCAGATATGTTATAAACAATGTAATTTATTAACACTAACAATACAAACATAAACGCAGTGCAATACTAAAACATAATACAGTGCAAACAAATCAAACCAACCACCCACAGATAACAGTACATACAATGCAAGCGTCGTCAGGCAGGCCGGGTCAATATCAATCGGGCAGGTAGGTACAGGGGGAGCAAGCGGAGAAGGGTCGGGGTCACAAGCCAGGTTCAGCAGGTAGCGGGCAGCGTGGTACAGAGGGTCAGGCAGAGGAGAATGGTCAGACAAGCCAGGGATCAGGAGCAGGAGAATGGTCAGACAAGCCAGGGATCAGAGCAGGGTCAGCAGAGAATCAGACAGGAACAGGAAACAGGGCCCAGGAGAAACACAACACCAAGGCAGAGTCTGCAGGTCTGAATGTCCCTTAAATATACCAGTATAATTAGTTCCAGGTGTTTGACTGGCTGCAAGGTTGAGTCTCTGATTGCTGGGAGCACCCGCTGGCCAGCCCTGGTACTGCAGCTCATAAGGCAGGTGTGAGTCCCACTATTGCTGGCCAGTCCATTCCTGGCAGTACCCCCCCTCAAGGAGCGGCCTCAGGACGCTCCAAACAGTCCTAGCTGGGCAAAATGTTCCACCGCCCGGGTCTGGTAACTGACGGGATATCAAAGACTGGCACACCGGGCAGGACTCTGGGCAGCGGCACACCGGGCAGGGGCACACCGGGCAGGGGCACACCGGGCAGGGGCACACTGGGCAGAGGCACACCGGGCTGGACTCCGGGCAGAGGCACATCGGGCTGGACTCCGGGCAGAGGCACATCGGGCTGGACTCCGGGCAGAGGCACATCGGGCTGGACTCCGGGCAGAGGCACATCGGGCTGGACTCCGGGCAGAGGCACATCGGGCTGGACTCCGGGCAGAGGCACATCGGGCTGGACTCCGGGCAGAGGCACATCGGGCTGGACTCCGGGCAGAGGCACATCGGGCTGGACTCCGGGCAGAGGCACATCGGATTACCAGGCGAAGCAGCAGGCACCGGGCCACCGGGCGGAGCAGCAGGCACCACCGGGCCACCGGGCGGAGCAGCAGGCAGCGGGCCACCAGGCGGAGCAGCAGGCACTGGGCCCCCAGGCGGGGCGACAGGCATCGGGCCCCCAGGCGGGGCGACAGGAACCGGGCCCCCAAGCGGAGCGGCGGGCGCCAGGCCCCCAGGAGGGGCGACAGGCATGGGGCCCCCCAGGCGGAACGACAGGCATCGGGCCCCCAGGCGGGGCGACAGGCATCGGGCCCCCAAGCGGAGCGGCGGGCGCTGGGCCCCCAGGCGGGGCGACAGGCATCGGGCCCCCAGGAGGGGCGACAGGCATCGGGCCCCCAGGCGGAGCGACAGGTCTCGGGCCCCCAGGCTTAGCGGCGGGCGCCGGACCCCCAGGCGGAGCGACAGGTCTCGGGCCCCCAGGCGGAGCGACAGGTCTCGGGCTCCCAGGCGGAGCGGCGGGCGCTGGACCCCCAGGCGGAGAGACAGGTCTCGGGCTCGGGCCCCCAGGCGGAGCGGCGGGCGCCGGACCCCAGGCGGAGCGACAGGTCTCGGGCCCCCAGGCGGAGCGGCGGGCTCCGAGTCACCAGGCACGACAGTGGGCTCCGAGTCAACTGGCAAGACTGCGGGCACCGAGTCGTCTGGCAAGACTGCGGGCACCGAGTCAACTGGCGGAACAGCGGGCGGGCATCGAGTCAACTGGCGGAACAGCGGGCTTCGAGGCGTCTGGCAAGACTGCGGGCACCGAGTCGTCTGGCAAGACTGCGGGCACCGAGTCGTCTGGCAAGACTGCGGGCACCGAGTCGTCTGGCAAGACTGCGGGCACCGAGTCGTCTGGCAAGATTGCGGGCACCGAGTCGTCTGGCGGAACAGCGGGCATCGAGTCAACTGGCGGAACAGCGGGCACCGAGTCGTCTGGCAAGACTGCGGGCACCGAGTCGTCTGGCAAGACTGCGGGCACCGAGTCGTCTGGCAAGACTGCGGGCACCGAGTCGTCTGGTGGAACAGCGGGCATCGAGTCAACTGGCGGAACAGTGGGCACCGAGTCGTCTGGCAAGACTGCGGGCACCGAATCACCAGGCACGACAGTGGGCTCTGACTCAATTGGCACGACAGCGGGCACCGGGTCATCAGGTACCGGATTGTCTGGCTCGACAGCGGGCATCGGGTCACCAGGTATGACAGCGGGCACTGGGTCACCAGGCATCAGGTCATTTGGCTTGCCAGCGGGCACCACGTCATCTGGCAAGGCAGTGGGCACCGGTCACCAGGCATTGGATCGTCTGGCTCGACAGCGGGCATCGGGTCACCAGGCCTAATAGGATCATCAGGCTGGATCAGTTCATCATGCTGGGTAGAGGCATCAGGCTGAATGCAGGCATCCGGCTGAGTAAAGGCATCAGGCTGAGTAGAGGCTTCAGGCTGAGTAGAGGCTTCAGGCTGAGTAGAGGCTTCAGGCTGAATAGAGGCATCAGGCTGAATAGAGGCATCAGGCTGAATAGAGGCATCAGGCTGAGTAGAGGCATCAGGCTGAGTAGAGGCATCAGGCTGAGTAGAGGCATCAGGCTGAGTAGAGGCTTCAGGCTGAAGAGAGGCATCAGGCTGAAGAGAGGCATCAGGCTGAAGAGAGGCATCAGGCTGCGTACAGGCATCAGGCTGAGTACAGGCATCAGGCTGAGTAGAGGATTCAGGCTGAGTAGAGGATTCAGGCTGAACCACGGAAGGCAGGTTCACCGGTTTGGATACTGGCAGGATGGTATTGGTTGGAAAGAATTTTCACTTTTTTCTGGTTTTAACTACTGGAGCACTGCAAGTAAACGCAGGTCTGCAAACAAATGGAGCAGCTGGAGACAGAGAAGAGCTGGAGGATGGAACAGGGGAGGGAACAGTTGCTACAGAGGGCTTTTTTACAGGGTTAAAGGCAGGATAGGTGCAGCGAGTGGGAACAGGGTACTGACATGCGGTAGATAGCAGGGCAGGAGGAGCTGTTGGGAATGCAGGAATAGAGCTTTGAGGAAATAGATTAGAAGCAGGACTGGGTCTTTGTAAGCTGACTGAGGCTGGGTGCAACAAGTCTGTCCATGTCTGCAGTATGGGTTGAACAAAGCTGAGCTTATACAAAGCCTGTCTGGTCAATGACTGCACTGCGTTTATACAATCTCTTAGTATCTGTGGTGAACATGCAGCATAATGCTCCAAGAAGCAATCCACATCATCCTCTAATAACCATACCAGGGACTCTACCTGGTCGGCACTAAATGGCGGCAAAAATTCATCCCTGCATTCGGGGGGTACCAGATGAAACCAACTCCGCACAAATCTGAATCAATGGCTGCACCTCAGAGAATTCTGTGCCCTGATCTACTAGAACATGAGCGAGCCGTATACATTCTAGCAGTTCATCCCGGGGATACTCCTTCAGAGTTTGATAAGCATACTCTCTGTCATCAAACACTAGCAGATATAAATACACAACCTCATCAAGATCCATCCTTCCCATCAACAAACCAAGATGGCTTCCCTGTGCAGCCACTTCTGGTCAGGATTGGCCTTGGTGTAATGTCAGGGCTCCCGGGTGTGACCAGAGGTGTGTGACTGACGCAGGGAAACGCAGACTTCAGATATGTTATAAACAATGTAATTTATTAACACTAACAATACAAACATAAACGCAGTGCAATACTAAAACATAACACAGTGCAAACAAACCAAACCAACCACCCACAGATAACAGTACATACAATGCAAGCGTCGTCAGGCAGGCCGGGTCAATATCAAATCGGGCAGGTAGGTACAGGGGGAGCAAGCGGAGAATGGTCGGGGTCACAAGCCAGGTTCAGCAGGTAGCGGGCAGCGTGGTACAGAGGGTCAGGCAGAGGAGAATGGTCAGACAAGCCAGGGATCAGGAGCAGGAGAATGGTCAGACAAGCCAGGGATCAGAGCAGGGTCAGCAGAGAATCAGACAGGAACAGGAACAGGAAACAGGGCCCAGGAGAAACACAACACCAAGGCAGAGTCTGCAGGTCTGAATGTCCCTTAAATACACCAGTATAATTAGTTCCAGGTGTTTGACTGGCTGCAAGGTTGAGTCTCTGATTGCTGGGAGCACCCGCTGGCCAGCCCTGGTACTGCAGCTCACAAGGCAGGTGAGTCCCACTATTGCTGGCCAGTCCATTCCTGACACTCTGAGTCTAGGAAGGAGGGGGGGGTGTCAGGGACTCCAGTGTTTGCCGCGATCGCGCTCGGGTCTGCACATGCGCGGTGTGGCTGGCCGCACTAGCGTGCGAGCATTGGGACCAGGGCACCCATGATTGCAGCGGTGCTCGCGCATGCGCACTCGCGATTGAGGGCGCGAGCCTGGCACCAATCAGGGCGCAGGGCATCCTATTTAAAACAGGTTAGGACTGCATTGAATTGCCGTATGGTCTTACCTGTTTCCTGAGTTCCTGATTAGTAGATTGTCTTGTTGCCGACCCTGCCTGACCCTGATTTGCTGTCTGTCTCCTGTTCTGATCCCTGGCTTGTCTGACCATTCTCCTGCTTAACCCTGCTTGTCCTGATCTCCTGTTACCGAACCCGGCTTGTGACCTGTTTATTCCTCTGCCTGCTGATTTTGTACCATGCCGCCACCACTGTACCGACCCGGCCTGCCCGACGCTGCTCTTGTTACCTCCTCACATCAGACTCTCACCTGCTATACACCTCCAATGGTGCTTCTACCACAGCTGGGTGAAACCAGGGGCCGCGACCTGGTCTCGGCCTGCTCCAAGTCCATCCCCACCATCAAGGGCCCTGGTGAACAAGCAGGTAGGGGCTTAGATTCCGCGCCTTGGGGGAATTCAGTCTGTGGAGTGCTAGCGGCTACCAATGTAGGACCCCTGACGGGGGGGGGGCTGAAACAATCAATGCTGGTTTGGGCACAAAGATGCCAAATCTGTATCTTGGTTCTCCAGTTCTCAGAGTCTGTGTGTTTTGGCGAAACAAAGACTTAACCCAAATTAAACTACTCCAATGGTCCCCCCAGGCACTCATCAAAGAATAGAGCCCCCTCAGATGCTAGTGCCATGGTAAGTAGTCAAAAGGGTCTGTTACATCACCTAACAAAAATAAAAAAAAACTAGAAAACAGAAAGAAAATAGAGCTGCTACCACTCCACAGTGCAATCACCACACTTAAAGTGGTTGTAAAGGCTGAAGGTTTTTTTACACCTTCATGTATTCTATGCATGAAGGTAAAAAACCCTTCTGTGTGCTGCAGTGCCCCCAGCCCCCTCAATACTTACCTGAGCCCCATCGAGATCCAGCAATGTGCACGGCAGCCTTGGCTTTTCTAGGAGTCTGCCTCCTCATTGGCTGAGACAGCAAGCAGGAGCCATTGGCTCCCGCTGCTGTCAATCACAGCCAGTCAGCCAATGAGGAGAGAGGAGGGCCATGACTGTGTGTATGAATGGATACACAGAGCAGCGGGTGCCCCCATAGCAAGCTGCAGCCGACAGAAAGGAGGGGCCACAACAGCCTGCGGGGAACCCAAGAAGATAAGGATCCAGGCTGCTCTGTGCAAAACTACTGCACACAGTAGGTAAGTATAGACATGTTTGTTATTTTATGGGGAAAAAAAGGAATCTTTATAATCGCTTTAAAATACAAATATTAAAAAAAAAAAAGTGAAGCGCTCCAATATGTGTAAAATTGTAAAGTAGCTCAAAATACACAAAAATCATCCAATCAGGTGTAAATTGTGACAAAAGTGCAAAGATCACTATCAACAATCAACGTGTAATACCAAAAAATAATGTATAGACTGAATACCTCAATCTTCACATGATCAAATCATGCATAAATTGCATATAAATCAGATAAAAGCATAATAAAGCCCTGAGCTCAGTTTGATCTGATGTTTTCACTGTTTACACGAGACCAAAACTGGAAGTGACTAAATACTTGTTGCTTCCATCTGCTATTATGCCTTATGCACACTGGATGTTTTACAGATTCTCCTAGGGGCTTCTGCCATTTTTTTTCCTGCCCCTAAACTTCCCTTCATGTTAGCCTATGTGTGAACGCACACAAAGTTTTAGAGGTGTTTAATGGCAGGAAAGTGTATAGACAAGAAAAAAAATCCACTTCCGGGACACCCAGGAGCAGACACGTTTTGGCAAAAAAAGAAATGCTTGACGTGCATTGAGCTTAGTGTTTGGGCGTTAATTCGTTTCAAAAGCCAGAATAAATTACAAGGTGGTATCAAAAAGTTTCCACACCAACAGTTGACAGCACAAGGCTGCACACACAGTCACAGGGAGCAGATACAGTTCCGTCATAAGTCAATATGCCAAAAGACATCATCCTATGTACATCGGGAGTTGTGAAAATTACATTTAAATCATATCAATTGTCTATAAATAGCAGGATAGCACGTAGTCAGAATAGCACCAGTTACACAGCTCCCGATGTACACAGGGCAATGTCTTTTGGCACACTGACTTATAAAGGTTAATGCTCGCTCTATAGAAGCAGCACATGAATGCTACTAGTCAGCAGCAAAAGGACTGCACTCCTCCCCCCTCATTCCCACTCCTCCCTTTGCATCTTGTCACCCACTACAGAAGGTTCTTATTCTTGCAGCCACAAGCAGCATAGATGGATGTCTTACATCAGTGTTTCTCAACCTTTCTTCAGTTAAGGCACACTTTAAAATTAAGGACAGTCTGAATACACCCCATTCAAAAATGGGGGGTGGCTCTAGACAGAGGTGTCCCTAGGGTTGGTGTCACCCAGTGAGGTAACATGTGATGTCACCCATCCAGAGAGGAAGGAAAGGTGCCAGTGTACCGGAAAAAAAAAAAAAATGAGTATCCCGGACCCGTGAAGATATGTATCCTCTGAAACAACTGCTACACCGGGGGCAGCTGTCACTGTGCTGGGAATCCGGGATCACCCTAATAACTGGCCAGGACCTTCACAGAGCCCAGACGCTCTGCTGGCATTTTGCTCCTGCACCCCCTGTGATGGTGTCACCCGGTGAGGCCCATACCCCCCCGAACCCCCTAGGGACGCCACTGTTATGGGGACAGCAGTGGGGTCAATGTGCTCACAGACTTGTGGTCCAGAAAGTTCCTTCACAACTCACTGGGTAAATTTGCTAACTGCTAGGAGGGATGCAGGATGCAGCACAACCCACATCCTGAAACTTGGTGATGTGACAGATCAGCAGCTTCTATCCCTTACTTCTTGATGCCCTTTTCTGGTGAATCATCGCCAAATGAGCAGTACCCCTTAAGTGACCAAGCGGTTATGTATTTGCTAGGAAACCTTTA